CTTGATATCCTTCAATATGTTTCTGTAATGCATCTACTCTTTGTTTCATTTCCTGTAATTCATGTTCTTTTCCACCTATTTTAGACTTTAATTCTTCAAGTATTTCGCCGTCACCCATCTTCAATGTTTTCTCTGTATTTTCCATTTCAGATTTTTCCAATTTTTTTGAAGGTTCCTTATTACCATCAATGTCATCGTCACATTCTGATCCCATTTTGTCTTCTAAATTAATTAATTTTTGCTGCATTTCTTGCTGCATAAGTCTCAGGGCCTCCGTTTTGCCTCTGGAAATATCTTGTACGATTTCCTTTTTTTCAGGATCTAAATTTTGGGAAGAATGAAGTAATTTCAATTTTTCAACTTCCGTTTTATATTTATTAATAGTGTCACTTAAACCATCTTTTGACTCGGTCATGTGTTTCAAATCTAATCTAAGCTGCTTAATTTGTTCTTCTTTATCTTCTAGTTCCCTATGTATAGAAAGTTTGTTTTCAGCTAACGATATAGCAGATTCTTCTTCCCGCTTTTTCAAGATATTCATTTCTTCCGTTAAGTCTTTAATCTCCGTACATGCATTACTTAACTCTTTTTCCTTTTCTGTATAAGAATTTTTCAATGCTTCATAATCAATTTCTAATGTATTTTTCTCCGTTACTACTTCAATAAACTTTTCTTTATTACGTTTCAAAGAGTCCTTCCATTTTAAAACAACGTTTTCCAATTTTTTTAGTTTATCCTTTAGTTGGGCATTTTCTATTGACAATGCATTTTCGTTCAAATTACTTGATGATTCAGTGCTTAAATCAATGAGATTATCTTTCGTATTTTCTTTCTCATCATTAGCATTCGAAGTTGCACCTTCTAAATTTGTTCCATTCATTTGTAGGAGTTTTACCTGGCATACAAGTAATATTAGAATTTAATAATCTATGCAGGCTGTCACATAACTAATGTAACCACTCCAAATATCTCACTTATTATTAATAACAGTAAAAAGTGTCAAAGAAATATAAGGGAACAAATATTGCAGCAAACAAACAAATTTCCTTAATATTTTAGCAACCTATAATATCATGACCTTCAAGTAACCTCAAATAAATCTACCAAAAATAAATGAAGAAATTGGTAAAGAAAATTATTTTAACAATTTTAGTTATATTTTCTTATGACACTTTCTTTTATTATAAATAATAAACATCTGTAATAAATTTGTTATTACCTTTGTATTTAGTGTATTTATTATGTGATCCTTCTCTTCAATATCATTTCTCAATGCTTCTTCCAAATGAGCTTTAGCTTGTTGTTCTAACTGGCATTGTTCTTTTAAATCAGCTATGCGTCTTAATGCTTTATCCTGCGATTCCACTAAAACTGATTCTAACTTGCCTTTGACTCTTTCTAATTCTCGATAGTGTGTTGCTAAGTCAGTGTATCTCCCACGATATTTATGATATTTTGTTTGTACTTTACGGTAAGCTGAATATATTTGATCTTTTGTAATTTTATCCAATTGTGGACTTATATTTTCATCTATTTCACTGGCAGATTGATCCATATCAGACTACAAGAACAACAGAAATGAACATAAACGGTTAAAAACAAATCTCACTTAATTATTATTATTAATCTCACAAATATTTCACCTGTAAGTGATACACGTTAGCAGGGCTTTCATAAATTGGAAAAAGAGCTGAGGTATCACTAGTAACACTGCTAATTGATGATCTTCTAGATATACCCATGGAATTTGATGTGGGTGATATCAAATCCACATTTTGGAAACCGTGTTTAGCAGGACTATTTTTTGGAGTTTCTATAAATTAATACATAACAAATAAACTATGCTTGTGTGTTTGTTTTACTTCCACTATAACACAACTTTATGTGGTCATAGTTATCTTTATCTGGAGGCTCTTTTATCACAAGGAAGTCGTTGCATAAATATGAACTCACCATCTCCCTCTTCAGTTAAACTAAAATTGTCGTTTGATGTGGATAATTCTTGAATAGAACTGTTAGACAGAGAAGGTGATACAACAGCCTAAACATGAAAAAGATTTTGTTAATGAAAATTCATATTGGGTGGTATGAAAATTATAATGATTTGTTGAATAAAAAGTAATCTTAAGTAATCATAAGTGATTTCCAAAATTAACACAAAAACTACGTATTAACATTAAATCATAATACTGCTAACATATATTTAACGAGTATAAATTGTAGATTTTATAGCATTCAGTATTATTTGATATTTCAATGTTGAATGAAATGTCAAACCTGGGCCAATTGCTGCATGCTCGCTTGCAGTCTGGCAGGTGATTGTTTCATTTCCTCAGCGAGCTTGTCCTTAAATTTTTTAAACATTTTTCCAGAATATTACAATCCTGTTTGTCTTCAATTCAATTATATCACTTTTCATGTACGTGTTTATGTGAAATTAGGTTGGAATCAGAGGCAAAAAATGTCCAACTTCAAAGGTGGTCAGAAGCATTATCCTATGATATTTGAAATGGCATCGTCAGAAATTACGAAGATCATCGATAATTATATGTAATATTTTAATTCCTCGGAAAAAATACGTTTCCAATGTGATATTAAAAATTTGCCGTGGAACCATGTATACGTAGGCACAGTTATTACCATGGACATTAATGTCGTCAGTAGATCGTTGTCGCACATGATTTTACTGAACTGTCAGATGTACGTACTTGATGTGCATTGTATTGTATGTATGTACATATGTATGTATATATGTATGTGTTTATACACTTATTTTAAAGATAATATACTTAATTACCTAGTTATTATATATTTTCTGATATTACATACGTACAATTCTGGATTTCATAAAATTTTACTTCTACTTTAATTGTTAGTTGTAAACAAATTACATATAGGTCAATACGTACATATATATATATTAAATAGTAAATTAAATACAATACTCAGTTGATAAGGGACAAACTTTTGTGCACAATACAGTAATAGGTCCTACTGGGTCCTACTCCTGCACACCTCTAGGCCGCAGCTTAATCTCTTAGCGAGGTTCGATATAAAAATTTTCTTTGCTCTGATTGGCTGATGATTTACTCCTGAGACAGAATCCACTGCGGATTGGATGCACAGGAGGGAGTAAGAAAAGCGTGCAGGAGTACAGTCTCATTACGGTAATTGTCTAGAGTAATGTCCTCCTCACCAAATTTTTGCGTCTTTGCTATATTGTATATTTTGATGTGTGGATTGAGAATCTGAAAGGAAAGATTGTCGCTCTCTTTTCGGTAACCATTTCCGATTTCGATGATTTTTTAATATGTGTAGAATTCAACAATAACAACAGTTCAGCTTAGTTTTAGATAATATGTATAGGTAAAAGTTGTAAACATAAATAATTACATACCCTCATTTTCTGTATAATGTAGAATAAAATTTCATACGTCTGAGAGTATTTTCATAGAAATTATAGAAATATTGAAATCTTGATTGTAATACATTAATACTTATTTTACCTCGGTAATAATTTCTAGTTTATGTTTCAAAAATTAAAAAATTAAAAATTTACTGATCACTATTTATTGTATGTATGTATGTATATACATAGTATATATAAGTGTGCTTCACTATATCTACATATGTAGAATGTAGTCATAAGTACATACATATGTATACAGGAGGCATGTATACAGGAGCACACAATTACAGTAGTATCTCACCTTAGTGAGCGAAGCGCGGGCAACCAGCTTAATAGCAAGAAGCAGGTTGAGAAATCTGATTGGTCGATGCTTCATAGCTAAACAGTGCTGCCCTCACGGTCCTAGACAAAGAAAGGAATGATGAGTGAGCAAGAGAGTGCGATATCAGCACAACCACAAGCAAAACAAGTCACATCGACGTCCAATGTAGCTTGTCTCATTTTACCGTGCTCGCGTTCTCACTCTTTTCGCGCATCCATATGCCTAGTGCTCCATCTGAAACACGTGGTGCGATAATTCGACTTGCACTTTTCGTCTCATAGTGAGAAAATGCTTTCCAAGCGTTAAGGACAGGTCGTAGGATAATTAGCATACAGTAATCGAAATAAGAAAGGGGATAGACATAAAAACGAATCGTAAAATTGGTGAAAGGTCCAGATCCTGGTGCTTTTCTTTTGAAAGCTCTCATACAATGCAATGCTAAAATTTCAAGAAACACGTGAATAAGGCGTTTCAAGCGATTAAGACCTTCCACTTTTACTTATTTTAGGATCTGGACCTTCTACCAATTTTACGATTCGTTTTTATGTCCTTCGTCTATCCCCTTTCTTATTTCGATCACTGTATACTAATTACCTATACCTATTACTAATTACCTATACTAATTACGACCTGTCCTTAACGCTTGGAAAGCATTTTCTTTATCTGTTCGAAATGTAAATCGTACATTCGTAAACTAAAAACCGTTAGCTACGAATGTAACTTACGGGTTTCCAAAAATTTCAATAATTGTAATATACTTAATGAATAATTCTTAACTGTAATTCTATAAAACACTGAGGTTGACAATTTTTGTAGGTAATTACTACATTAAGTTTCAGCTTCGTTCTTAAAATTTTTAACAGTAAAAATCGTATAAAATTGCGAAATTATTCGTTGCTTTCGAAACTCCTTCTCGTACAGTAGAATATTGATTATTGATCGTCTCAATTAAAAAGTATTGAGATAGCTGAATTAAAAAAATTTTGTTAATTCATAAACTAGAAACCATTAGCTAAAATGTAGCTTATGGAATTTCGAAAATTTTAATAATTGTAGAAATGATCGTCGTTTCAAGACGTTCGCAAATACGCTGGAGTATATGGTCGAGAATCCTGGAATATATGGGGTGAAAAGTGCAAGTCGAATATTGCTTCACGTGTTTCAGATGGAGCACCAGGCATATGGATGCGCGAAAAGAGTGAGAACGCAAGCACGATAAAGCGAGACAGCCTACGTTTCTCGTCCGTGTGTACATTTATCTATAGACCCGCTAGTTTCATTCTGTCTCTCTCGATCATCTTCCGTTTTCTCCCTAAAGCTACTGCGCGAACCTGGATGCGCAGTAAAATGGTGGGGATAAAAATGCTTTCATATTATAGTGAAGCAGAATTGCTCAGTAAGGTGAGGTATGACCGTAGGTGTAGTGTAACAGTGTTGTTGCGTGTGTTCTTTGATTTATAAAGTGTTGAATGTACTGCATTAAAAAAACAACGTTTATTTTCAATGATTTGATTTAAAAAGAAGATTCCCTTAACTTCAGGACAATGGTATAGTATTATATGCATACATCTTAAATACAATGATTAATAACCTTATTCCTCATTATTACATATTCAGTTTTTTAAATTTTAATAATTTTTAATGACATAATTTAAAATTTGAACAACATGGCAGCTATAGAATTATTTGTTCCTTTCATTTTTACGTTCATTATGTATTTGAGTTATGATTCTGTTCTTACTATATGTGACAATTCATAAGATACATTAATAATCATTTAATTGTGTACTTTCCAAGTAAAATATGTTGCTCACTAGAAATAAATGTATCATTTTAAACGTCTTAATTTTTATTTTTATTTTAAAATGTGTTATAGGCTTCAAATGATGGTATACCACCACCTGCTGCGGTACCTGGATTTCCACCAGCAACTCCAAATATTGCTTCTAGTTTTGTACCACCCATTATGCCCACTGCACCCTTTATACCACCTCCTAGCCTGCCGCCCGGTCCGCCTGGCATAATGCCACCACAATTTTCCATACCTCCTCCTGGTTTTAGTTTTCCAATAACTGCTGCTCCTCCACCCGATGCTGGAGTTATAGGTCAATACTTCTATTTAAAAACATTCATTCGGTTCTGAAAGTTTACCTTATTTAGATGTTTCTTATATTTTAGCTGCACCTCCTCAAATAACAGCTCCGGGTATTCCTCCTCCAGCACCTATAGCAAGTGAAGCTGGAACTGCTGTCCAGCCTATTACAGCAACAGCTGAGAAGAAGACTGATTGGACTGAGCACAAAGCCCCAGACGGCAGAACGTATTATTATAATAGTGTTACAAAGCAATCATTATGGGAGAAACCGGATGAATTAAAAACACCTAGTGAATTGCTTTTATCGCAGTGCCCTTGGAAGGAATATAAGTCAGAAAATGGGAAAGTATATTATCATAATGTAACTACTAAGGAATCAAGGTGGACCATTCCAACAGAATTGGAAGAACTGAAAACAAGAATTGCAGCTGAAGAAGCTGCAGCTGCTGCAGCAGCAGTCGTTGCAAGTGCTACAAACAGGTTAGTGAGATTTGTTTAATGTAAACTTCGATTGTGTTCAATCAACTTAGATACAATTATCAATATTGCTGTTTTACAGTATAGTTCCTGTAGCCATGCAGCACCTGTCTCCAAATATTGCAATTACTAATGCATCACAAACCAGTACACCAGAACCAGGTGGGAAATCTGCAATTGAGCAGGCAATGGCTGCAACACTCGCAGCAATAAACATTCCTACTCCACCTGCAAAACCAGATGAGGATAGTAATTCTGCTAAAGGCTCTGCGAACGATAGTCGCACCAGTACTCCTGAACCGAAAATGCAATTTAAGGATAAAAAGGAGGCGATTGAAGCATTTAAAGAATTATTAAGAGAAAGAGATGTACCATCAAATGCTACATGGGAACAGGCAGTAAAATTAATTCAAAGCGATTCGAGATATCCACAAATGAAAAAGTTGAATGAACGTAAACAAGCATTTAATGCATACAAAACACAAAAACTGAAAGAGGAACGTGAACAAGAAAGATTGAGGTGAGTATCATAATTTTTTAGAACCATTTGCTGTTTCCAATGATGAAGTAATGTATTGTATATTAAATAGGTTGAAAAAAGCTAAGGAAGACTTGGAACAGTTTCTATTAGAAAATGATAGAATGACGAGTACAACAAAATATTATAAGTGTGAAGAAATATATGGTAATTTAGAAGTTTGGAGAGCCGTAGGTGACTCGGATCGTCGAGACATATATGAAGATGTTATTTTTAATTTGTCTAAACGAGAAAAAGAAGAAGCAAAGCAATTGAAAAAAAGAAATACCAAGAGACTAGCACAAGTTTTAGACACTATGACAGATGTTACATATAGGACAACTTGGCAAGAAGCACAGGCACTACTTTTACAACATGCTGCTTTTGCGGAGAATGCAGATTTATTGGAAATGGACAAAGAAGATGCCTTACTTGTGTTTGAAAATCATATACGTCAGCTAGAGAAGGATGAGGAAGAAGAGAAGGAACACGAAAAGAAACGTAGAAAACGACAAGAAAGGAAAAATAGAGATGCTTTTATAGTAAGTTTTCTTAAAATTTATTATACTTTCGATGAAATGATCTCTGTATAATTTCTGCAATGAATTTCTTATAACTTTTCAGAGTTTACTCGATGAATTACACGAGCAAGGGAAATTAACGTCAATGTCACTTTGGGTAGAGCTTTACCCAATGCTCTCTGCTGATTTGAGATTTTCTGCTATGCTTGGCCAATCTGGATCAACGCCGTTAGATCTTTTCAAATTTTACGTGGAGGATCTAAAATCTAGATTTCATTCTGAGAAAAAAATTATAAGGGAAATTTTAAAAGATAAGAATTTCGAAGTACAAGTTAACACTACCTTTGAAGAGTTCGCTACCGTCGTATGTGAAGACAGAAAATCTGCAACATTGGATGCTGGAAATGTGAAACTGACGTACAATTTATTACTTGAGAAAGCTGAAGCTAGGGAAAAGGAACGTGTAAAGGAAGAAACTAGGAAATTCAAGAAATTGGAAACAGGTTTTAAAAATCTATTGAAGACACTTAATGTTGATTATCAGATGACGTGGGAGGATCTGCGATCTAAAATCGAAGAGGAACCAGACTTTAAAGCGATTACTTTGGAAAGCGAAAGAGTTCGAATCTTTAAAGAATATCAACACGAATTGGAGGAAAGTTGTAGTCATCATCATATCAGAAGTAAAAAGAAAAAAACAAAGAAAGTAAAACGGAAATCACGATCTAGATCTCACAGTGTAAGTATATTACATAGTCTTAAGACTTATGGTAATCCTTTTGTCTAACACCTAATTGTGTTTTTATAGGAATCTGAAGGAAGCGAGAAAGGCGTAAAGAAAAAAAGGCATAAGTCACGTTCACCAAGCGTTCCTAGTAAGTCTGATAGTTCTGAGTCAGATACTAGAAAATCCAAAAGGAAAAAGAATAAAAAGAAAAGAGGCCGCAGTCATTCTGTAAGTATTTTTGTTTTGTAAATATATTCTTTGAAGCGTATACATTTATTTACTTTTGCAATAATGGTTTACAGCGTTCACATTCGAGGCTTCCATCGTCAGAAGAATCACCAGAAAGAAAACGAAAAGAGGAAAAACACAGAAGAGCTTCTGCTCACAGTGAAGGGTCTGTTACGGAGAATGCAGAGCACCATGAACTATCAGAGGACGAGTTGGAAAAACAAAGAGCGCAATTACTCCGAGAGTTACAAATGCAACAAGAAGATAATTAAGAATAACTCATTTCTTAATAATACCTTATGTAACTTTAGGATACTGCATTATTA